TCCAGCCTGGACGCAGGCTCTTACCTGGCCGTGTGCCTTGGGCGCAGCCCAGCCTCACTGTCCACGGCTGCTGCCTGTGCTCCAGCTGCTGCATCAGCTCCAGTACGGGAACAGGACACCCTGGTCAGGGAGAAAAACATGTAGATAAAGAGATAAAGCAGCTGGGGTGCTGGGGCACAGCGATAATGCCAGCTCAACCTCAATACTCTGGGAGGCTGAAGCAGGAGGATCACAGTTAGGACCCAACATGAGCAACTTCAGGGAGGCCTGTGTCAAAATTTAAAAAAAAAAAAGATTTTTAATGGTTAGGTTTTCATTTTTTATGTTACATGCTTTTTTTTTATTGAGACACAGTATGGCTATATAGCCCAGGATTATCGTAAACCCACACAGATCCTCCTGCCTCAACCTCCATGCCCAGCTTATTTTTTCTTTTTTGTTTCTGGTTAGCATCAGTATATGCTTGCAGTACATAATGAACATGTTCACCTTGGGGAACTTGTACACGTACATAATGCATCTTAATCCTTTTTTGTCCCATTCCCCTCCCTTCCTATTTGCAAAGGCTCCACTTCTTTAATGTCAACTGTTTCTGCAATCCTCTTCCTTTCCTTCCGTCCCCCCTCCTCAATTTCTAAGAAAAGTTGGAGATGTAGCTCCGCGTCAAGGGGCTGGGTTTATCCCCAGTACTGCAAACAAAAAGAGAACAGATAAAGAACCTCAGTCGTCTGGGCTTTGGGATGCAGACTAGACCTCAAAATGATGAAACACAAAAACCTAGCTTGTGAGCCAGAAGCCAAGCGCCTGCCATGTCATGCTGCCATGGAAACCCACTCCAAACAGAAGATCAAAATCAGTACTGAGAGCAGATAATCAAGTCTAAGGAACTGGAACAAGCAACAACTCCAATTTATCACTCCAAACCTGAACAATATTGCCAGACGGGGTGGCTCAGGCCTACGATCCTAGCTACCGAGGAAGCTGATGCAGGGTAAGTGCAAGTTCAAGCCCAGCCCCGGCAACTGAGCAAGACCCTGGGCTCAGT